GCTAAACTTGCATTTTCTGTGTACAAAGTACCCATCTTTTAGGTAAACATCAGAATATGTGATAATTTTTATTTTTTTTTTATTTTTTTTTTGCTGCACTCAGAAGTAGAGCACCTGAGAAAAACCCTCCCTGGGCCAAGTGCTCTGCCCTCATCAGAGGGTTCTTGGTGTCATCACAAACTCAGCCAATTCAACTTGGATTTTGCAGTGAATTATTATTCTACTTCAAGTGGAAACCATTCATTTCCCCACTTCAGACAGTAATGAGCAAGTAGGATAATCATCTGCTGCACTCTGCAGTACAGTCAGCACCTGGCTCACACTCGGAGCCGCCCTGACTATTACCGAATTTGAGAAACCTTTTCATTTTTACCCAAAGGCTCAAAGACACTCCAGGGCTCACAGTGGAACTATTCTACTGCTACTTCAGAGCGTATTTCACGTCCTTCTGCAGCTTTTATACCGAGTTTTCCCTCTCCTTGGACACTTACGCCATGTCTTCCAGGCTGCTCATGAACCAGTTTTGTTTTCTTGCACAAACATGCAAACCCCGGTGTGGAGCAGACAGAAATCTGACTGAAACGTCATTCTCCACTTAACTTGAATGCTTTCCTGCACACAGCCACCGGAGAAATTCGGCCCCCAGGCCTTATCTTTGTTTTGCAATCTCTGCTTAGGCAATTCCTGTCTCCAGTCAAATCATCAGATAACACAAACTGCTGCTATCAAAACTGGAAGTTTAAAATCACCGGGATGAAATTTGGCACCTTCCCGTCGGCAACTCGACGACCCGACCAGGTCAGACAAGTCAACACACCCCGTTCGGGTTCCGAGGAACGACAGATTAGCCAAAACCACGGGGGTTTAGCTTTGGCTTTTGTAAAACACACTGGAAATTAATTTTTAAAAACACTCATTTCCTCTTGGCACAGAGGCTTCAACAAGCATTTCCTCTCAAATATCTAGCGTGCAAACCAGTAGAGGCAGATCCGCTGGTCACGCCACCTACGTTCACATAGACAGCACCTCCTGGCCGACCTTTTATCACCTTGTTGACACAGATGAAATGCTTGCCATCATGGAAATGGGGACGAGTCACTGAAATATGTGCTAGAAATTACTTCACTGCCACTACAATGTGTGAATGCAGAACCAGTTTATCTCAATTCTGCTATGGAAATCAAGCTGTTGTTGTGTTTAGGTCACAAAAAATAAACTAATAATAAATATATAAATATTAATAATAAATAATCCTAATGTGTTTGGATTATTTGGATGTTTTGTTTGTTTTTTGTGGAAAACAATAAGTCTGTAATGTGGTATTTTGGTTAGAATGCTGCTGACACATATCGGAGGTGTGTTTAAAATGCACTGATTTCTTATTTATTTTTGTACATTTCCCCGGGCTGCATCGAAAACTGGCCACCAAAAATATTTGGCTGCAAATTACCCAAATATGCCTTTCCGGTCGAAAGACCTAAATCACCAAAACAACACGGCCAAAATACACAATCAGGTGAACCCCATTTTTGTTACATGTCCCTCCGACCTCTTGAGGCAACTTGCTCTTTGCGTCTTCATTTGTAATTAATTTTTAGTAATGCCGTTTTTTTATGATAGTTGTTTTATTTCAGTTTGTTTTGGGCATCATGAAAAAGAAGTGAAGTGGCTCTCACGTGATCATTTTAGACCAACGTGATAAACAGAAATGCAACATGGCAGTGTAGTCAGTGTCCGAATTAGTGCAATTTTTTTACGGATTTTTCATTTTTATTCTTCTCCGCTAACTCTATACGGACACATGAGCCACAAAAAGCCAGGAAAAATCCAACATGGCGGTCTGATATAAAATCCTGGCTGCTACTCTGATTCAAAAATTCATACCTAGAAAAACCTAGGTGGCGCTATTGTGAAGGTCAATACGTTTTAGCAAATAACTCCCAAACCATAGGTCTTACCTTCAAAAGCGTTTTAATATCCTTGATCCTTGGATGATTCTGTATTTTTTTTGTATTGGCCACACCCATTTCCGCCTAACTAAATTTTTGCTAAATGGCAATAAACACGAAGTCTAGTTTTAATCACTAATCCGTTGTTTTTCATCAAATCAACCTGAAACTTTGTACATTGATCTATTGATGGAGAGAAGTTGTTGTTATGAAGAAATTTGCAGAAATATTGAAAATTGGGCTAATGACACAATGTCAAATCCAGTGCGTTAGCTAGCACATGCCCTAAATTACGATACTGTCAACATTTTTCAAGATCAAATGATGAAACTCTAGAGTCTTACAAAGTGTGATCTGTAAGCCATATGTACCTAATTTTGGTATAATTCACCAATAGGGGGTGCTAAGAAATCAAAAAGTTTTTTCCAGCTAAACGGCTTGATGGATTTCCACAAAACTTGGCACAGATATTTATCATCGGACCCTTAAGCCATATACTAAAAATGATTACAAAGTGGGCGTGGCTTATAGGCTTTAAAAAAAATTTGCCCTTTGACTCATGAAAAATATATATTCTATACAGAATTTAACAGATCATATCCATAATAGTGTCATCTACAAACACATATATTTTTTTAAATGTGTCCATTGGGTGGCACTGTTGTACCCAAAAAATCCTTTTGGTAGTTTTCTCCAAATGTCTTCAGTTTAGAAACAAATTTTGTTATCCTGGGTGTTCTTTGAGTCTATCAAATTTAGACGAATATTTAAAAAAAGTTTTACACGTATGCAAATTGGTAGAAAATTGCATAATATGTCAAACATACTTTCGTTAACTCCTCTTGGCCGTCAAACTCAATCAGGTAAAAACTTTGCCTGACAAGATAGGACGAGTGGATGACCAAACGATGTGGACGGATTTTTGATATTTTATTTAGTTTAGGAAATTTACCAATTTAAAATATATATATATATTTTTTTTTTTACTGAAAAAGTTTTTGGGGTAAAACTTTAAAAGATTTTGACATTTTTCAAAGCTCTTCATAACAACAGTACCAAGGTTTTTACTGCATTCAAATTTGCGTGGCGGCCGCCTCCAGCTAATTTTGTGCCGCCCCAGCTATATGGGTGTTATTTTAACTGCAGTTGCAGCGTTGCGCCACTACAGGGACGCAGTATCAGCAGCGGTGCACCAAAAAAAACGCTGCAGACAAAGAGCAAAAATTGCTTTTCTCGCTAGTTGGTAAATATCTATGGTTGGTGCTGTTGACGTCCTGATTGTCCCCCAGGCTCTTCCATATCAGAGCAGGGCTGTACAGAGCGACGAAAAAACTGTGCGTGTCTTGTCTATTTTTAGACGTAGCACTGGTGCAACATCTTTAAATGACTATTTTCCCCAGAACTTTGTTGAACAAAAGTAAGTTACATGTAAGAAAAATGCTTTTTACTGGCGCACAGTGTGGTCATCTGGATGCAGTGGAGGAAAATACAGGAACCAGCAAAGGCAGAACCGGTCCAAAGGTTGGGATCAAAAGTGCCGCTACACGCAGATTGGCTAATGCTAAAGCTAACGGGTAGCAGTCTCACGATCAAGTGGCGCACAAAAAAATATATGATGATCGTAAAACTAGGAAAGACTAAACTATACAAGTGGATGAAAAGTCCCCACCATCTTGTTTATTCTGCATCCTGCAGCGCTACGGATCAGAACCGCTGCAGATTAGTCACATTACTGCTACAATTCTACGGCAATGCATTGTAGTATATAATTCACAGAAATCTCCATCTTTTAACATAATTTAAACTGGATTATTGCCAACCCGTACATAATAGACATGCCACCATTACATTGTTAGCAGCAGAAATTAAATGTTATCACCATTTACAATACAAATGCATGTTAATGAAATGCATTATATTTTTCTGGATATATTTGTGTTATTTTGACTAAGATGAGTGTTATTAATACAAACCTAAAATGTTACTGAAATGTAGGTCGAATTTTTAAAAATATTTTAACTATAAATATCAGACGGGAAAAAGGGAACTAAACATCAATCTAATGCATATTATTGAGCCTTTTATAATATTAATAATTAAATAATAATAAAAGGGAGTTTTCCTCTCCACTGTCGCTACATGCTTGCTTGGTATGAGGATTGCTGTGAAGTCTCTGACACAACAAGTCAGTGTCTCAATGAACTTTGTTGTGTTTTCTTGTGTAGGAAACTCAGTGCCCTGTTTGATCAGGTTTTAGACATAACTGGTGTGAGCAAACCATCAACTTGTGTCTTAAACTTACGATACACTAATTAAAAAGAAAACTGACCAATTTAAACATAAAAACAACTCATCCTTACGAAACAAAAACAGGCAATTGCTTATTTATAGATTTACAAGATAAATCAGTATCAGCTGGTCAGAGCTGTACACAAATCTGAAATCTAACCCACAATACCAGAACATGCGCATCTCTACTAAAATACGTTGGAATGTGATTTACTGCAAAAAGCACATGTTGTTCAAGTTACATTCAGACTCATGTCATGTGCTTTTCAACAGGATACCAGAAGTAATCCCAAACTTTTGATCTTGTTTTCTTGCATTTCCAGTCTACAAATCCAGTCTCCTTACGAATCACACTCATCTGATGTCAAGACGTGACTTTTGATCAAATTATTTACTCTACAATCCCCTACTCTACACAAGTCCTCTCTAGTTTTCCGATTAACCTAAACTAAAGCCCAATTTGTACAAGCCTGCTCCACTCAGAGCTCCACAAAGGCCCCTTGAGAGCCTGCGGCCCCATCTTGAGCGGACTAAATATGCAACATGCACAATCACACAAGGAGGCAGCAAATAAAGGGCACTAATAAGAGAGGCTGCAAGTGAGTTGCTTTCCACCCTTCCCACAGGGATGCATTGCAATACACATTGCATTCTTTGCACACAAGAACATGCAGCGCATTGCACTCTGCAGAGGTAACAAGGAGCACTGCATTGGATTCCCCTCGGCTGACAATGAACCATGCACAGCCCCTCCACACCCACCTGAAGAGCAGGAGATGAGGAAAACGGCGATGGCCAGTTTTGTAGCGTCTCCCATTTTCCATCCGAATCTGATCCTCTCGCTGTTAAGGTGATTTAAAAGCACTCCAAACAAAACAAACCTCAAAAAAGACAATAGTTGGATTACATTAAATGTCTTGCTGCTTCAAGGAGCACCGTCTCTGGAAAAGAAGCATCATTAAAAGTCCAAATCCAAAATATTCCAGGTAATGTAAGCCTTAGGAGTCAAAAAAAAAGGACCAGGATGAAGAGGAGATTTCCAGGTTTACACACAAGCAATGGAGGGCGACTTGTTGGCACCAGGGCAGCCGTGTACTTGCAAGCTCTGCAGCATTGTTATGAACAGATCACTTGAGCCTGATAAGTTATTTTCAGAACAGCGGCGCAGAAAGCCGAGCCACAGCCGAGCAGGGCTAACATCCATCGGACTTGAAATCAAGCGCACTCCGCTCTCTAATCAAACTTCTCCTCGGTGAGCTCATTAGCATTGCTGTTAAAACGTCAAAATGTCTCAGAGATACACATCCACACCTTCTGAGCGAGGAACGCGGAGGTTTAAAGCGTTTGTTGTCGTGGTATTCCGTGTGGAAACGTCCGCTCGGTCCGGCGGGGCTGGCCGGCCACAACCACACAGCTCAGTCCGCTCCAGCTAGGACGGCAGCGCGGCTCCCGACGGTGAGATAGTCCGCTCCAAAGTGACTCAAACAACCGCGACTGGTCACGGTGACTCGAGTTATCAAGTCAAAACGCTCCTTAATAACTGAAACAATTCATTTGAGCGCCGTACTGGTACCGCGTTCTGGACAAGCAGGATTTTCCAAGTCCGTCTCCTCCACTGGTCGGGACAATTTCAAGATGGCGTCACTGGAACTTGTCAGGTCAGGAATGCTGGCAAGGCAGGCTTCCGGCAAAGGTTTTCAAAATAAAACACTCACGTTGAAGTTTGATTTCATTTCAGAGTGATTTTTTTTTTGAGTTACATTTTGACATTTAGCTGTCGTGATCTGGTAATATTTCCCAACATGCAGCAGCAAGGTGTTGCACTCTGCTTTTCAGCATTTAATCTGGATCATTTGTGAAACAACACCAACAAAACATCTAGCAAATGGATTAAATCAGTGTTGTTCCTTTAGTATTTTTTTCCCTTTCAGCTTGTCGGGTTAATTAAAGCCAATTAGGTGATGTATTTGATTTAATCGTTTATTTATCTTCCACAAATAATTTCAAATCTAAAAGTGGCAATCAAAATTTGTCAGTGTTTTTTCTTTTTATGGTTGTAAATGCCTTTGTCAATGTGTAAAAAGTAAATCTGTTATTAGATGGTGAGAATATTAAATGTTGGTAAGTCAAAAACAATCTAAAGGTAAAAACCTCCTACTGTTGTTTCATTTTTAAATGACAACGTAGCTGTTGTTTTTATTGTAGCTCTATTTATATTCAGTGTGTGTTTTTGCTGCTGCTGTGACGTGAGAAATTTCCGTTGGAAATCAAGTCATAACCAATTTTAGCTTTATTTTGAAGGTCAAACATGTAAACATCCTGTAGAAAGGTTGCTGATTTTGCTCAATTTACTAGAGCGGCTTTGCGAGCTTAGGGATTGTTTTCGTTCAGGAAGGTTGCTTGTTTTACTCTCCAGAGTGTCCCGTTATGAAAAACACGGGTGGTCAGAATGGTTATTTAAAAAACACAGACTAAATCATAATCAAATCCTTATTCTATATGGTCACAAAAGGATTCCAACAATGAGTTGTATAATTTGTATTTAAGCTATGGTAAATTAAAATGGTTTATTTGCAATTTTTTACCATAATAAAACAAACCTCACGAACAACATGATGTGAGCGTGAATCAGACACCAGATCAGCTCTATAACCTGTTGTAATGATGTTTTTGAGGATCAAACTATATATCTGATTTCCCTTCAAGGACATGTATACCGTCAGGCTATGTGCTACTAAAAGGTCACATATCAGGTATCAACATGCGGCTGGGAGCAAAGTAATAAATGTTGAGAATGCCATGAAGTATCGGCTTGGCCTGGTTCCAGATCTGTGTGGCACTAATCTCTCTAATAGCCTGGAGCAGATCTCCTACTATAAGCGCAGCTGAACGATTAGGAGGTCAAAGGTCTCGGGGGATTTCTCCACCAAACTGGAAGCTGAGTCACCTGTTCTATGTTGGAGCTTTCATCTTCAGCAAAAACACACGACCCACTATCAGAACCAGTGGGATGGATGGGTGGAGGGGTTGCACAGGCCCGGCGAGGGGTGCAGAGGTCCCCCCCCCCCCCCCCCCCGAGCACATATCTGAAACAGGGAAACACATCTGCTCTGTTTCTGGAGATGTTAACGGTGATTCTGATTTATCTGATGCTACAAAGGAGTTATAAAATACTGATTATGCATCAAGACACTGGGAGCACAGCTGCAGTCACCACTCCTTAATCAGATTACACTCCTCAGAGGCTTTTATGGCGTCACAGGAAGTTTTAGCTTTAACTATAGCTGCATGGTCACCTTCTACACCATCTATTGGCCTTACTTTTGAGGGATTTTCTAAGCTTCTTTTGTTTTTGTTTTTCCAAACCAGAAGCACCAACATTAGTTTGTGATCTTTTATTTAAAATAAATAATAAATCCCAAATTTTTGCACGTAACCTCATCAGTTTGGACCACAGCCCTCAAACATCTGATTCATTTAGCCACGATAACAGAAAAAAATGGTCACAAGTTCAAAATGGTTTTCTTTGATTGGGGAAGACCTTCAGTTCTGCTCCTGGAGATTTATTACCCAACAAAATCCCATTACTCCTCTATCAGATGCCAAATCTCCTCTAATGGCATTACACGTGCCCGAGTTACGTATGGTGATGCTTGCTAATGAGAGCTGAGCTGATGCACCTTACTGGAACCAATGGACCTCGTGCACAGAGTAACCCCACAGTTCTGTGGCTTAATGTACCCAGTATTGAGTGTCAAAGGAAGTCAAAAAGCAAGTTGCTCACAGAGTGCATTGGATGCAACGAAGGATGTAAATAGTTCTAAAGTTGTGTGAAATGTTCCTATCTGAGGATTTGTGACAGGTGACAGCGAGAGCTGCAGGATTGGGAGCAAGTGGACACTTTAACATGAATGATGAATGGAAGGATGGAGTTTCTCATTCAGACCACAAATCAGGCTGCACAGCAGCATCTAAAGAGTCTTTTTAAGTAGGAAATCCCAAAGATAGGAACTGATTTACACCAGAGGAGTTAAAATACATGAGTGATGAACAGAAAGCACCTGAAAAGTTTATTTCATGAGAAAATATTGTCCTGTTTATCTATTCCCATCAGTACAAGGATTTATATAATTACTTTGTTTATTGGGATGAAAATTTGAGTTGTTTTTTTTTCTAGTTTTTTAATTCCTTAAACCACCAAAATACAAATCATGGTATGAAACAGAGTCATGACAAAATCAAATTTAATCAAATTTAAGAGAATTATTGAAGATAAAAAGAAAGAACAACTTAAAAATATAAAGCACAAATAAACAAAAACATTTGAACAAGTTCTTTACTGTCAGCCAAATGAATAAAACAATTTATTCATGAAAACAAATATATAAAATATGTGGTAATAATCAGTGTTTTTTATGTTTTACTGTTTTAATATTTACATAATCATCCAAAGGAAAGATTACAGATTAAAGCCTTTTCACAAAACAGTATTATCAAAGAAATAATAATAATAATAATAATAATAATAATAATAATTATTATTATTATTATTATTATTATTATTATTATTAATATTATTAATATTGTTATTATTATAGTAATGATAATAATAATAATAATTGTTGTTGTTGTTGTTGTGGTCAGCCTGTTTGTTAGAGCTTGCTATTCAAACGTCTTCAAAGAGTGATTTTATTCCTGGAGCTCAGATCAAAAAGAACAGATTATTTTTAGGATGCTGAACATCAAAACAAACTTGTTTAAACATATTTCAGCAGTTTAAATGTTCAGGTATTAAGATACTTCCCGCTCTCAGCTAAGCCTTATCGTTCCTTATTTCCTTACAGCTTTAAATCACAACATGTTCACTCTATGTAGGAAACAGGAAGTCAAAACTTTGTTGTAGTTTTTCATCTGCTGATAAATGAAAATTAGCAACAGTAATACTTTAACTGAAAAACAAATGCTGATGGCTGTTTTCTTACACCTGGTGTGACTATGGAAGTCTGGCAGATCTTTGATCAGTTTGCATTTCTTTCTTTTATTTTTATTAGTTTATAGAAAAAAGTGACGTTTCTGATCTACAACCATCAGCACAATATCAGTCTTTACCATCGACATAGAAATATTGGACAATGGGTTTCCATAGCCTCCAATAACACATTTTTGAAGATAAATGGGAGGTGGCCACCACCGCCATTTTGACCGTGTCACAGGTTCCGTCAAGCCCAGACAATTCCACAAAGGGAAGAGAGGTGGAGCTGAGGGTGGGGCTGTAAGGCTGGTATCAACTGACGACACCCGGTCGAACTAGCTACAAGCTAACCTGAAGCTAACCCAAAGCTAACGCGGAGGTGGGAGCTAAGCTAACGGAGGTAGCAACCTAGCTACAACCGGAGATAACTGTGCACAACACCAGAGCTTCTGAGTCAGAGATACGCCGGGCTGACCGCTGGGTAAAACCGGGTGGAACACAGAGGTCTCCCGAGAGCTCCACAAGCTGGCAGCCCGCGCAGCAGACAAGCGCCGCTGCGATCTGAGATGCGTAGAGCTGTCGCTGGGGAGAACCGGGTGGAAAGGTTTCCATCCCAGAGCTCCACAAGCCGGCGGCCCACACATCAAACAGAAGCCGCGTTCAGACAGAGATGCGCCGGGCTGACCGCTGGGTAAAACCGGGTGGAACACAGAGGTCTCCCGAGAGCTTCACAAGCCAGCAGCCGCGCAGCAGAAGAGCGCCGCGGCGATCAGAGATGCGGTGAGCTGCGGGGAGGGGACCATACCGATAGTCGGAACCCAGCTCCACCAACATGTTATATTTCAACCCATTTTCTAAAGTGCAGCATTATGTTAAATGCACTGGGTTTTACCCTATTACATTTAAATTTCATGGTTAAACAGTACATGTTAAAATCTAAGCTCAGCTCGGCAGTGACCTAAAATACATAAATATAATTTTACTTACTGAAAAAAATGAAGTGGAGACTCCTTGGACGCTCTTTTAGTGCAATTAATGCCACAGCAAGTCATTTTGTCCAACAATTGCACAAATAATATCCAAAAATGAACGCAAAAACGCTACAACTAAGTTCAGAGACTAAAAATCGCGGAACAGTTTTCAGGCGAGGCCGAGGCTCAGACTGAGGCTCTACTGAGGCATTTCCACGGAGCTAGCTCTGTGGTCACGTGGGTCTGATGCTCATTAATTATACAGAATTTTAGGCTTTTAATACACAAACAGAAGAGTGAGAAAAACATTCACCCCCCTCAGAGTTGTCATGATTATAAACTAGATCATTTAAACCAAAAACATGTTTTGGTACCAGGCTGTAAACATGTTTATTTCTGCTGTGAAATTGGTATTTTTAACATGGGAGTCAATGAGGATTTGCTCGCTTCTGACACCAGCCCCCAGTGGATGAGGGTGGAACTGCAATTTTTGTCACTTCCGCGTTGGCCTCAATTTCTGTCCCGCATTGTGGGGCTTGGTCTTTACCCCTTACCTGTTTAATATTCCCAGGTTTCTTAGACCTCTATCTATTTAACAGGATTATTCTGTTCGTCAAAATTCCACTCCACTGATTTTTCTACTTGTGGAATGGTTTAGTAATGTGCCAACAAATAGTCTTTACTGTTCTAATATTGTACATAATTTACTG